TTGATACTGAGTGATCTGTTATCCAGCCTCAGCATAATTAACCGAGTGATTCGAGTCTCGAGAAACTCTCTTATAGATCACTTGGTTAGTGTCCTTGAACAAGGCTGGGCCTGAAAGATAGCCCAGCCTAACCGAACTGGGCACAGCCCGTAACAAAGGGTTGATCAGAGGGTCCAAATACTCTGTAGGCGGGAGGCTTAGGGCCCACCTAGAAAGGCGTGAGACACGTCTTTGTTGGCTAAAGATCCAAATTTTCCGGCGGCGGAGAGGGTGCCGTGGATCGAGGCGGTGTATGCGGAGGGATGCTTGATAAAGTTTTGAGTCCAGCGCGATTTCTGGGGGGGAGAGACCTGCTTCTCTATATAGCGCGCTAGCTGGTGTTGTTCGGTAGACGGGAAGAATTGCTCTTGCGCTAGTTCTAACAACCTTTTGGAGGAGGGAAAGATGTCCCTTCACCAAGTTTGAGACGGTTCGAGTTGGGGAGATAGCACGTGTCAGGCCTGGCCACCATGTTTCAGCTCCGTAATAAGCGATAGGTAGTACATAAGCAGTGACTGCTTGGCGTAGGAGTTTAGGGGGGGCACCACTTAATGTGTTACCAAGACTGCGGAGCGCGTTTGCCACTACTAGAGCTTTATTTGCAAGGATGCAGACGTGCCGTTTAAAAGAAAGTGTTTTATCAAAATAGACTCCCAACCATCTGGTGTATGGGCGATTTGTCTTCTCAGATACGGAGAAATTGCCGTGCTTGACCGAAGGGGTGTTAACCGGATTCTTATCAGCTCGTTTTCGTGAAAAATGCTGAAGCTCTGCCTTAGCTGGGTCGAAAGTGATGCCCTCCTTTATCCCCCATTCTAAAGCTTCTTTCACGTCGAGTGTAAGCATGCTGGCTGTGCGACCCTCGCTCAAAGCTCTTTCGACATCATGTGTAAGACAGGTGGTAAGATCGACGGCTGACCTCCCTGGGAGGGCTCCAAACTGCTGGGTAGTTAGTATCGTATTACGGGTCGCTATCCAAGCTAGACGTCTGGCTATCAGCCGCTCCAACCCCTTCCCAAGTGCGGAGAGAAGTGCTATCGGGCTGTATGAGCGAGGGGAAGATAGGTCTGCCTTGTTTGGCTTCTGAAGCATGATTAAAACAGCTTGCCGGAAGCAGACAGGATGATGGCCGAGAGTGAGACAGCTTTTGAAGAGTGAGAAGATATATTCTCCGATGAGGGGCCAAGCTATACATAATATGGCAGTCGAGATCTCGTCAGCCCCAGGGGCTGTATTTCCTGCTCTAAGAATCGCATCCTGAACTTCGTCCTAGTAGAGTGGTGGGAACGAAATGGAGCATTTTGCAACTGTCGGGGTATCCAAAGGGATATCACCCACTTCAGCCAGGTTCGTGAGTAAATTACCGAGTAGAATTTCCCTTTTTTCAGGCAACGATGTCGCAGGGGGGCGCTCCGGGGACCTGGGGTCTTTGAGTGGAGTGGATCGGAAGTTACCCGTGGACTTATGCCATTTTGTCAGAGCGAAGATGTCCTTGCCCGTACTGGCTGCGGCAATCTTGTTAGTGAGGTAGGCCTTCTTTGCCCTTGCGATCGTTCCTCGATACTCCTTTCGCTCTATGGCAACATCTTCCTCTGTTGTGGGTCCGCTTCGAACCTTCTTGTACCTTTGGCGAGCCTGTTTGCATGATGTATCCCATCATGCATTCCCTTTACCATGGCCCAGTGAGCGGCGGGCTGCGCACATATATGCTGTACGGATAGCTCCTGTTAGCTCTGTAGCGCACCCGTCCAGCGCCTCCCTGGTGGGATTTCGTGGAATTGGACTAAGACCATCAATATTGATGGATAGGAGACGGAGGAAAAGTTCCTTGTCCAACGTGTCGAGTCTGAGCCTGCGGAGGGGTTCAGTAAATCCTTCCCAATCAACCAAAGTTAGTATTGTAGCATGGTCTGACGTCGTGTCTAGATGTGGGGCTAGGGTGCACTTTGTCTTTTGAACTAGAGGGCTGGATCCGAGAACTAAATCGAGTACATTGCCACGGTCATACGTTGCCATATCTGCAGGTGATAGAAGAGAGAGATTGTTTTTATCTGCCCATTCTATGAACTTTTCGGCGCCGGGGGAGGGGCTGCAGGTCCATGATGGCTGCCATCTGGTGTGGTGTAAATTCAACTCTCCAGAGATAAGCAAGTTACCTTCGAAAGGGAGGGTGAGAGAATAAAGGGAATCGAGAACCCTATTGCTGGTGGGTCCTGCAGGAGCGTTGTAGACGTTGACAATACTTATGGACTTACCCGAGGACGAGACAATTCTAAGGAGAAGCATATCGCTTGAAATTGCCGTATGACCCTGTTCTGAACAGAGACAGTCATTTTTCCGCACATAGGACATCACCCTGAGTCGTGAAGATGTCCAGTCGTCGATAGGTGAGAAGTTCTCGAAGGATGGGTGGCATTTGGTGATACGCCTGGCGCGGTCGCTGTAAATGTACGGTTCTTGTATTAGTACAATATCAGCAGAGGCTAGGCTGGCTTCGTTGAGAGCTAGCTCGTGTGATTGGGCTCTGCGGCCGACATTTGCAGAGATTATTTTTAATGGGCAATTGTTTTGTTTGCGGCGCCGAAAAGGAGTCATTATGATTGCGCTTGGCCGTTGCTCTGATCCTCTGTGAGTAGGACTTCATATGGGTTGATGGATTTTACTGAAACAGGCTGGGATTGGCCTATTTCAGCAGGGTTTGCGGCCGAAGTATGCGTGGTTTTGGGGCTAGCCGTAGCCTTGATACAGCCAGCTTCTGCTTGTTTCCGTAGGCGAGCGTCTACGTTGATTTGATGGATAGCACTTACTTGATTCTTGGTCTTCGGAGGACCGGAGGGCTTAGGCCGGAGGTCGCAGCTAACATCGTCCGCGGGATGGGGGCCATGACAGTGGATGCATCTGTTGGGGCATACATGTTAGCCCGTGGCGCCGCATTGATTGGCATGATCTTTTTCGGAGTGTCTGGAGTGTCTGGAGGACCTGCACAGGCGGCATTTGAGGTCGGAGGCACATGTGCGTGTATTATGCCAAAGCCAGCACCGGGTGCACTGGACAGCCATCTGACGCTTGGGTAGAATTCTTGTCTGCGTGCGGCAGCCAAAGAGGAAGAGGGTGCGTGGCAGGCGCTGATGAGATTCTGGGAAGCGCAAGATCCATGTCGTCGACGAGGACGTTGGATTAGCATCATTATCGCGTGAAGCCGCAATAGCTACAGGGGCCACCCCAGCTGCAGTGGCTAGGGCATCCTTCAACGCCTCAGCTGTGACGGGCTTAAGGCAATACTTCCATTCTTCGTTGATGTGTTCCAAGGCTCCATGTATCGGGGGAATATTTTTATGCGGTAGGAAGTCCATGGTGTTGCTTTCTCTACTGGTGCGTCCCCGAAGAAACTTACGGACTTTATTTTTTCCATGAGATTTTCTGAGTCTCCGTCTTTGGGGCAGAGAGCGAAACCAGTCTTCGTTGACTGCACGTTTGTTAGAATCTGCCCCTCATTGCCAAGCTTAGCTTTCAGGTGGAATTGTATTGCGAATGCTGAGTGATCTCGGAGTGTACTACCTTCCGGAATACGAACGAATAGTCGGTCATCGGTGCGGGTGGGCTTGGGCTGAAACCGCGCTTTAGCGGGTGTCGGGAGGGTTGGAGTATGGCGACCGGCAAATTGCTCATTGGATGCCCGTGAAGCTGCATTTACGTAGGTCTGCGCGGTTTTTTGGGCATTGCGGCTAGGCGGGGAGGGGTCATCGGTGACGGTCACAGGCTTATTGCAGAGATAAGCATCGAAATGCCGTGCTGCGACTTTAGCTAGATCATTACAGAGACTTCTGAATGCTTCAGCTTGCTTGGCGGGTAGTGTAGCGTAGTTGGGTGCGCTGCTATGCTTGTCGATTAGTGCCGAAATACCTCCAAAAAGGGTCTCTGCTTCTTTTGCTCGGGTTGTCATAGAGTTTACGCTCTTTGTCAGAGTATCTTGCATCAGGCCCGCGGGAGCTGGCTCTGAAAATGGGTCGTCGTCGGGGTCGTCGTATTCGATTTGATTGTCGTAATTAATTGGATCGATCTCCATGTCATGCTGCTGGCTGCTTCCGGGTGTGTCCCAATCGCGAAGGGCTGGATTATAGAATGGAGTGGCTTCTACCGCCTGAGATTGGTTAAGACCCTCCTTGATCGGGAGGGCTGCTCTCACGCGCGCTGAGCGCGAGACGCGGCTTGATTCTGATGTCGGTTTGGCTACAGTTGTCGGTTTTTGACGCGACTTGTGAAAGGTAGTAGGGGGGGTTTGATGTTTTTGTGGTTATTTCTGATCGGAGCCAGAGCGGAAGGGTCTTTACAGTTCAATCTACAAATTGGAATAGATAAAAAGTCTGTTTTGTTGGCCAGATCAGCTGTGTTGTTGTCTATAATTTAACTAAGCTACTGTTTGTGTAGTGGTTCACGTGTGATACACTTCGTACTATGAGTTAATCACAGTGTGGATCCTAAACGTAGCAGGCTACGTTATGTAACATAGACTACTAAATGCGGTTAGCCTATAATTAGTAAGCTACGCACAAAGTGTCGATTTCGGAGTTGGGAGTTAGGAGAAGATATAGACAAATTTATTAGAACTCAAGCTCAACTATTGCATTCTGCGGAACTAGCTGTAGTAGAGCCACAAGTTATTTTTGTCACCATCCTGTTTCAATTGTGATCGATCGAAACCCACAACAGCACGATTTTATCTAATCCTAACTCTATCACGCCCCTGAGCATCATCACTGGTTCGATATGTCTGTACGCAGATCGTACGTCCGCTTTTGGACTGGATCTAGCCTTATGCTTGCATAAGTCCGTTTACACATTATCTTTTAATCCTAGTAACTTATGACGTAGCTTTGTTATTCTCACACCCCATGAAAGCCTGATGTATGGAATCATTAAATCAAAACCCAAGCAAACAACATTCATTTGCTACGGGAACTATGAATAAAGATCATGACGAATCTCGCCGACCGCCTCCGCATCATGAGATCCTCTGTGGCTCTGCGAAGGACAGCCCGCCCCTCTATCAGGATTTGCCTTCAGCGCCAATAAACGCTGAAGCAGCGTTAAATATTCGAAGCTGGAGGTCGGGTACTTCTCTTTGAGTGAAGCTTTACTCACAATTACAGCTTGCCTCCAAAACTTGCATGGTCCTCTCACAATCTCTCACATTCTGAGATTCGCACACTTGCTCCACATTATTCAAACAATGCCGATGCTCTCTATGGTATGATCATCGAACAAGCATCGTACCCTCCCTCCTACTATGTTCAAATACATGGCAAGCACAATGAAACTCAACAATCTGGGGCTAAGCAAACCAAGGAAGAGATAACAGACTTCTTCTTTCGCATCAATATTTCACACCTCCTGGGCCCACTCGGTAGTGGTGAGCTTATTAGTCTCCCTAACAATAAACGTGGCTACAGAGGGACTCGTATTCCAAGATTGGTGCCTGGACTAGACGATCTAGAGAGTAGAGATGCTGTATTTGAGTGGTGCCAAAGATATGTCGATGATGCAGCCAAAGTCAAATCTTTCACCCTATCCCGCGAGGTCCTAAATTTTGACACTAATAAGCTATACCAACTAATACGCTCAGCTATTACAGATACTAATTATTGCGGCCAAGTCTACATTACATTCCCTTCTACGCATTGCAAACTAATCGTCTACTCTCCTTGTAGAGTAAATGCATGGCGAGTTAACGCTTGGGTTCGCTGGTTTTGCTACTTATCATTTCTCTGGGTTTTTATCTGGCCAATCCTGATATTTCTTACTTCACGATATGAGATTGTTAAATCAGTGTTCTATTACGCAGATTCACCTTACAGCGATGATCCAAATAGGGCGTGCCAGGTGATGAGCGAACATGAATGGTTCCGGATGTGGCAAAGCTCTATCAAGAGAGCTGTATCGACCAAGGTAAATACAGGTGATGACGGCGTGCTACCTGAGGAATATAGGACCACAACCGAAAGATTATTGACACACAGTCTTGAAACAAATAATCCATCTGAAAATATAATTGGCAACAGGCCTGACACGAGACCATTCAATTCGCGATTTGTTAGCAATAATGAGAGATGGGGAAATGACTCCTGATGAAAGAGAAATTTACAATGGGTAAATTTAGATTCGGCTTTTTGTATTTTTGAATTCCTGTTCCGCCCAAATTACTAGGATTCTTATCGTCTATAAATCACTGAGCATGCGTTCCTTTGTTGAATGACCAAATGAGCTTGATAGGTAGAATAACTACCATAAATATATTTTAGCCCTCCCAAGTCGGGTGAGATTTATAGGTTCTTGTGGCATGTTTAAGGCAATTTTTAGAATTTAGCACACTTTTCAAGCTGACCTTATGGCTTGATTTATCTACACCTTACTCTTCTGGTACCTAGCAGACTGGGGGTCGAGATTTAAGCTTATCTTGTAACTAAACTTGCATGTGGATTTAGCCTGTTATCAGGTTTACCAAAGTCTTTCTCGGATCACTATTTACAGGTTGGGCCAACTCTTTCACGGTGGAAAGGAGAAGTTGTTTACAAAAACGCAAACTTAATACACGACAGCCATTTGTCGAGAAACCCAAATTGAGCTTGGAATAAGTACAGTTAAGAATTCTTGAATTCTCTTGCTCGTAAATAGTTTGGAGCAGTGGCATTATTCTCTCTTGAGAATCTAACAATCTGCTTATGCTTGCACTGACGCGAGTGTAAATGAGATCCCACTGTGAGAATAAAGAGGTGCTCAGTATTGAGGGTGTAAAGCGCAATTATCAGGAGTAAACACTGATATCAAACCAAGTATCTAATTTACAGTAATAAATCTTATCCGCACTGATTCTTAAATTGCACCAGGTTCCCAATGCGATGTTTTTATTGTACTACTTAAGTCAAAGACTATCTAGCACATTGAGCTCCTCTCTGGCCCAGGCCACGCCTTGTACAGTGCTCCTACCCGCTTTTGGTGCATCAAAGATCATTAATCTATTGCCTGTGATGAATAGCAATTCAGTGAGGTATTCACCCGTGGAATGCAGCCACTTTTTCCATGGAGCCCTCTACCCAAAAAAAATGGTAGCAATAGAAATTGCATGCGTGGGAAAAAGTCTCAAAAAAACTGCAGCCCCAGCAAGGCGAGGCCTAGACAGCGGGACCTCATGAGGTATCCAGGTAGCCAATATTTCAACATGATTCTAGTCTTCGACAGAGAGATTTTTCTCTGTAAACCTTTTCTTTTGCATCAGATTTTTCACTATAAACCATGTTCCTGTGGAAGTTTGATAGCAAGAATATTCTACTTTGCCACTTCCCTTGAAACAGTTATGACTTAGTCTCATGATGTGTCAATCTTATCATTTCTTGTCTCGCATGGGGCTTGCATACAAAGCCACCTAATATTCTTGGAAACCATCTCATATGATGACTACAGCGCTGTGTTGAGCATTGAGTTAACGTAGATAATTTCCTTTTTTAACTATTTGTTGGGAACGATTCTCAACACCTATCAGTCATGTCCCCTACAAACCTCCAACTCTAAGTGTCATAGCTAGTTAGGCTGCATGCACTTAATGATTTAAAAAAAAAACCTCCAACTCTCACTGTAGAGTCTACAGAGCCGAGATTGAGTAACGCCTTCGCCCCCGCTTTCATAAGAATTCCCAATAGCTCTCGCGATCTACATCGCCTCTTTCCCTTGGAATAGCCTTCCATCACCATCATCATAAAGCCAACCACAATAAGGTCAGAAAACAGGCTCGAAGCCCTACTCATTATCCTCTTCTATCGATCATGGAGAGCGCATCCATTGAGTTTTCCGAGCATATCTAATACCCGATACGGCGGTGGTGAATTAGATCAAAGGAAACCAAAATATCACCAAGAAGGGAGATATAGATGAATATGCGCACCTCATGTGGTCCCCGTGCCTAGACCTCGCCTGGCTGGGGCTCCATGTTTCCTGGGATTCTTTCCAATGCACACAGTTTCCATTGCTATCATTTTTGTTTTTTTGGGTAGAAGGTTCCATGGAAAAAGTGGCTGCATTCCACGGGTGAATACCTCACTGAATTGCTATTCATCACAGGCAATAGATTAATGATCTTTGATGCACCAAAAGCGGGTAGGAGCACTGTACAAGGCGTGGCCTGGGCCAGAGAGGAGCTCAATGTGCTAGATAGGCTGTGACTCAAGTAGTACAATAAACAACATTCACTGACTTGGGAAAGAGAAGCACAAGAGCACATTTAGCGCGGAGGAAAGACGATGGATAATGAAGGCACGTCTGGAGAACTCAAGGTTTCCGGGAATTTTCCCTGGATGAAGATTCACGAGTGAGGGCTGACATGTAGTGAAGTTAGAGCGGCCAGAACTTCACAGTGAAACTTGAAAATGAAGTAGAAGGCATGAGTTCTCTACTTTTAAACTGAGCCATCTATTCTTTACTTTTCCTCTGATATATCGTTGTAGTCAGATAGCTGCACACGCAATTAAAATCTTGTGCAAATTTTTAATTAATGAGCAATGTGCACGTGCCGCCTTCGAGTGGTAAGGTGAAGGCGACAACATAAATATGGCCATGGTTAAATGGTGCAGTGGTACACCAGTTGGGCCTATCTCCAAATTAAAGTCCGAAAAGCTAGATACATGTCCCACTTGAGACAGAGGATCGCTGGTTCGGATCCAGCGAGGCTCGCCCACGTTTATCACCATATACGTGTGTAGGCCGAAGAACTTAGTATCGTGTAGCTAAGGCCTCTAAATTTTCCCTTTGATATTCACGGATAAGAGTCGACGGCTCCGTGTAGACAAAAATTGTGATATCCGAAAATATCAGTGCACTGATTTATTTGAAATCCAGGGTCAATTAACAAGGAGCAGCTTGGGGAACAAAAGAAAATTGGCGAATAGTCAAAAGCTGGCGTGGGCTCAAATTATGATATACTTACCTAAAGAGAAAATTGCAAAGTTCCGAATCTATAAACAAGTACAGAGAAATTCGTCAAATTTTCAAACAAAGTTGCTAACGCGAAACATCCTGTTCCTGATCATCTACAGCCCACGGGCTCCGTGTGGAATCTAATATCCATGACAAAACTTTAGTATCGTGGTTTGTCACAAATAAAACTCGTGTCTGATTGCAAATAGTCATTTGAATACCAGAATTCACGTTGTATCGGCCTACCAGAAATCAAAGACCGACGCACACGCTGCCACACAAGATGTCGGAGGGCAAGAGTGATCACCTATACGCGGTGTCCTCTACGAATCTGGGAGTGAAATATTCCCTCTGAGCCAAGTTCAATCAAATTTCGCAATATCGAACAGGTTGGCCCCCGAGACAATGATCCAAATTACTCCACCATATCAATCTTTCACTCCCAACGAAATCGATTACTACCAGAGCCTCATCAAGTCTACAAGTACAACCTAGTACTTCCCCATTCCAATGACCTCCCCTTTCGTCGACTATTCTTTGGCCTCAGCTGGTCGCCAAACACACACCCACGCCGATATTTACACCCAGCGGAGGAAGCAAAGCGTGGCGCACAAATCTGGGAGAGATTTCTCTAGGTTGGACGTGAGAGGGATCAGGACAAGTTTACAAGATGATGCAAAGGATGGATACATTCTCGACGGGCGTGAAATTTCGAATTTTGGCAAGAGTTTTACGAATTGAGCTTTGTGCGCGCCAAGAATTCGCTTGCGAGAGTGCAGCTGACACTATAAACACCGCCATGGTTGGATGGTGTGGTGGTACATCGTCTTGGCCGATCTGCCAATTAGAGTCTGGATAACTTGGACACAAATCCCATTAGAGACAGCAGATCGCTGGTTCAAATCCGGCAGACCACAACCTCTTTTCTCGCGGCACTGGTATACATGGACGACGAAGGCATACTTTGATAATCAAAGGTTTTGAAATGTCCCTTTGGTGGGTACTTACAGGGGGTAGACCGCTTGTGTCAGCGAAAATACCTCGTAGTGGTATTTGCGAATGAAATACAGAGTAAAAGTGTCTCTGAAGTCAAAAGAGTCATCCCACATGTATACGTAACACTGGTCATGTGTCGTAGCTAGATAGCTGAATACACATTAAATAATAATTAAAAATAAAACACAAGATGTAGGGGCGTCACACTACGTGCACATGGGAAAATTACTAATTCCATAGAAAAATAGCTGCATGCGTGCATGCTAAGTGAAATAATTGGAGATATCATTAAGCCAAGCCATACGAACTGAATTTTCCTACCGACCGGCATCTCAGTTCGACATATTAGTTTTTTCATCTTTCCCACAAGAGGATAGTCCGGATAAGTGTCGTTCGATCGAGCTATGGGTTTTCTTTGACTGTCTCTTTGTGCTCATGGCACGAGAAGACTACCTTTCAGAGCGCTCTTGTGGACGGCTAATTTTCAGTATGTGGCACACAGATGATTAGCAATGCAAGCAAAGCTTTCCTGAAAAAGGTAGCTCTATCGATAAATTTCGACTGTCCATTACATAAAATTTTGTGCCAAATTGTAGCTCACCACTAGATCTACGTGCTGCTTTGATTAGAGTACGTCCCGCTTCTGACTCATTGACTTAAAAGCAGGAAGCTGGATGGAGATTGAAGTTCATCGGACAAATTACGTGCTAATCACGGAAAATTCATCTGTTGAAAAGAATGAAATTTACTTATCAATTCCGGTACTCCTTTTCCACCATCAAATTAAAACCATTAGATTGGCCAATAATGAAAATCTGTTGCTCACTACCGACCTTGCACATTAGCTTGGACTCCTGAGAGTGGACTCCAATGATCTTTCTCCACAGCACAGTCGCCTAGCATTCAAAGGCGTTGGCAAGTGGACTCCCGATCTTGGGTGCCCACTGTAGACTCTTTCTTTTTGCAGCTATTAAGCGTGTCATGAAGCTTTGGTTATTCACCTGCGCTGCCGATTTTAATCCATAGAAGCTATTTACATCATCATATTCTTCTTGCTCGGAGCTTTCAAATCTCTTGGCCGGCGCTGTCTTCTGCACCAACTGTTCCTTACAAAGAAAGTAAGGTGTTTGTCCGCCCGGAGTGTCTGAAAAGGGAGAGAAGATCTCTGAGTTTGGGGTTGAGTCAGTCTGCGGTATATTTTCCTCCTCAAGGGTGCTCATGTTGTTGTGGATCCACTGAGTGGAATCACGGCGACGAGATTTGCTATTCATGGGGGTTTCCTCGATTTCTGAGCTATATTTGGTATTTCCCCTTCCAAGATTGCGTTGATAGAGTGGCGTGGATGTAGGAACAAGTGTGCCATTAAGATTAGCAAGTGCGCGGGGTTCCATACTCTTACGCCGACGGGCACCACCTCGAGGGATGACCTCTACGTCCACGAGATACGGTGATTCGTCGAGCCACTTGTTTTCACGTTCGCAGCTGTGAAGATGGTTAGCCTGTTCAACCGAAGTGACGAGAGATATTACTCAAGGACCCATCCAACTCCGACGCAGTTGACGACACCGTTACTTTCGCGTACTTTTTCAAGTGTTCGCTTTCCACCATCCTTGAAGACAACATGCGTTATTCCAAACTTCCCGTCCTCAGAATTTCCACTCCAGTTCCAGGCCTTGACACATCGAGCTCCCATTTGCGTTAGGATGTCCATGAAAATTATACTTGCGTCAGCACCCTCAGCGGTATAGACATCAACAAAAACTACAGCACCTTTTAACAGAGACGGATCTAGATTTGCTGAATCTGTTCGTGCAGGAGTCCCAAGCTTTGACCACTCGACAACTTGGAGCGGAGTTGCGGTCACTTCTGAGTAAAATTTATCTTGATAAATTTCTTTTCTACCGAGGTGAGAGCCATTGCCACTGGTAGCGGCTAAAGCAAGAGGACGAGAAGTTGAACATCGAGAAACACTGCTACTTTTCTTTTTCATGGATGGTTTGCTAGAAGTTTCACCAGCAGCGGGCTTGAGTGGCACCTTGCATACAGTGTGGTAGATGCGTTCAGAGGTGATACGTTTAGGAGTTAGTGGCCTAAGAAGATCCTGCTGAGCATGAGGTTCTAAAAGTTGCGGATCGATATGAATCTCAGGCACATCATTCTCTTCAGGATAGAAATGTTCTTCGGGAGGTAGATGGGAATCAGTCGTTTCAAACGTGGCAACTTGCATGGATGTCCTTAGATCTTCGCCCAGGCATATTGATGAAATACAATTTCCTTCTCGAGAAGGATATTGAGGCCATTGCATTTCTATTTCTATTCCATTTGTCTGATCTGGTTCAAGGATAGACATTTCGTCAGCTTCATGGGCGAGATCAAGGTCTTGCTGGTCAACTTCGAAGGGTTCATGCTCGGCTCCAGCCATTTCCAGACTTCTAAGTGACGGCGTGGATGCTAGGGCTATCTCCTCACATATATTCATCACTTTATCAAAAGTAGATGACTGTTCGAGGCTCTCTTCTTCTGCTTTGTCATCCTTGGTGCTGTGAGCCTCGACCTCGTGTGGATCTAGCCAGCTCGAAATAAATGATTCTCGACCCGATGCTTTCTCTGGACTCGGTACCATCCAGTCACGAAGTTGTTTGGCTAGAGGCGTGAATCCTATTTTCTGTTGCCCATGCAGCCGATAGTCTGAAATATTCAGGGGGGATACTAGTGATGCCGGTTCCATATCTGTTCTATTTTTGTCTGGTAATTCGACGGGGCACAAACGAGAGTTATTCAAGAGGGCAGAAGAGAGTGAAGTAGATGTAGAGATGTGATCGTCTGGGTTAAAAGCATTTTCTTGGTTCTGAGAGAATTCGGGTAATATATTCTTACCACAGGGGCTTGAGGGTAGGGGTATGGCATTAAAATCTCTTCGATCGTTATCAACAGGGGAATCCATCGCTTCACGGAGTGTATTTTGTTTGTTCTCATTCTGGGTAGCGACATCCAACGTAACTGTTTCTGACGATGCAGTTTCTAGAGTTTGTTTAGGCTCACATGCGAATGGCAATATGGGAGTAGACTGAACTGGGAGAGACGAGGGCTTGCTTGCTTCGCGGTGACTAACATTCTCATTCAATGTGTTGTGGCCTTCATCAATGATAGATCCTAGTGGTTGTATATTCAGCTCACGTTTGTTTCGGGTTTTTTTTGCCGGAGACCTTCCGCATGTTGGGTGATTAGATTTTGTAATACTTGTTTGAAGGTTATTGTCAGATGCGGCACTTTTGTAGTTGATAATATGGTTAGGTTGATGTTTATTTTCTTCCACTTTAGTTGTAGATTGTAGTCGTTTAGCGGGTGATTGAAGAAGTAACGTCTTCTGATTTATTTCCGATGACTCCATTCTTAGATGTGGGAGCGATATTTTGAGGGGTGATTCACGGACGCTGCTTAATTTTAGCGCTGCTACCTTCATTCCATCTTTGAAAGGCGTTTGTGGTAGACGACGAGCTGGACTCATAATTGATAGTTTTTGGTCTTGCGATGAAATTGTTTGGCTATGGCAAGCGTTACTAGGGACAGAAAGATCTATTTTTATAGGATGATTTCCAAAATTATGGGGAGGTTTTATGGGACTGGTCTTTAGAGGTTTCATGCGAGTTTTGGCTGTCGTTGCAAGCTCATCATCTGAGTGGTCTTTGAAGGAGTTAGTCTGTGAGAACTTTTTCGGGCTGAGAGCTGCCGATTTTAAAGTCTCTTCTGCCAGTTTTCGACCTCGAGTTGTTCGTAGTGTGGATGGTTTACGAACCGGTCTTGCCCGAAGACCTGTCCCGAATTGTGAATTTTTGGCCATACATTTAATTTTACTAACAGGGTGTAAATTTTCCTTGTCTGGCTCTTCGAATTGAACAGTTTTTTTAGAGCACGGAGGTTTTATAACAGTGGTAGGCCGTCCTCGAGTACGTTTCGGCAAGGATTCTGATGCGGCAGTCGACCTTTCCATAGTTTTATCTTTTAATGATCGTTCACGGAGAGACCTTACAGGCTCGGTTTTGATCTCACATGGCGTGTTATCTATAGGAACTTTTCGTGGACGGCCCCTTGTTGGTTTCTTGGTGGAAAGTAAATCGGATGTTGCAGTTTTTGAGGGTACAGCCTTTCGTGTTTTTCCGCGCGTAGTGAGAGAATTTGAATCCGTTGGTTCATTGGAAATTTTGAGCTGTTCCTCGGACGCTTCTTCATTCCGCGTTTTTCTTTTGGTCGATACTACTTTTTTGACTTTTGTTGAGGTGGTAATGCAAGTCGTTTTAGACTTTCCGCTGGAGTGAGCTGCAGCTGTAGCGCGTGTGATACGTTTTGGTGGTGAACTGGCCATGGTGGTGGAGCGATGTAGAAGCAAGATTGTGATTGTCGAATACGATATCGTGAAGTTTGGCGCGTATCGGTTACCATGCCAACATTCAGCTTTTTCGAATATCATTAGTGTCCTCGACCTTTGTCGGTAAAAATGAGCACAGTTTCAAGACAACGACGTATTTGTGCTTATCTCCCAGGTCGTTCAAACGCGTCACATAGCAGCCTACCAAACGAATTCTGACTACTGTTAAAAACAATTGTCGATAATAGCTGATGATATGACGTATACCACCCCTGCATGCGCAAGGAGTCAGCTAAGTAGAAAGAAATTCTTTGCCTGCCAGTATCGTTAACCACAAAGATCAAGATCCCATCGGAAGTTATATGGAGCCAAGACTTATTCTCTTACTGAGAAGGAGTTAATCTTCTGTTTCTGAGTCAATCATCTTCTGTAACATCCTTGGCGGCACTGAGAATTTAGGCTTGGCTATGAAATAACTATACATTTGACCAGGAATTCTCTGATATTTCTTCACGACCATCAATTTATCCCGAGGCGCAAACTGTAGGGACAAATGAATGGATTCAAGGAAGATAGAGAGAGAATTTCCTAGTTACACACAAGTCTGCAGTGATCGGCTAGTATATTACGGCGAACGAAGCAGCACGTTAGCTATATCATCAGATATAGATGCAATTTCGATAATGCTGGAGCCTCGTTCCCAGTGTTCCCAAAAATAAACGGTCACAATACTTCAGAGAGTTGCCTTGCTTCATACGGGTACTATCGAAGAGAAAAGATACCTACAAGAGTACAAGGGAATGAAGACTTTCGGGTGATGGAATTATCAAGTCAACTACGGAAAGGCTGCGTAGGTGTCTTTTGCGAGTAGAGGGAAGGAAACTATATGTACATTAAATTCACAAATTGAAATGGAGTCGCTTTTAATAATAATCATGTTCCAGTTTTGCTCGAGTGACGGACGCCAGTAATTTTATCCAAAAAGATAGACACATGTCTCCAGCAGATGAGTTAATTAGTCTATGCCTGGTGGAATTCCAAACAGCATACTTGTTCGTACTCTTGTGCGAACTAGTGTGTAGGAAAGTTGCATACTAAGCTCTTGGAAAAGAGCTTCATTACGCATGAGGCTGAGCAGGGACAAATCAACTATCATCAATCGTATCAGCCTCGTCCGAGATGGATGACCGGAGTGTGTCAGACCCCGTTTGGTGCTGAGACGCTAAATCCGTCTATCAACAGAAATTGATTTTGAAGCGCTTAAAAGCGAGATTGTCTGTAGATGCTATTACCACTCACTCGAAAAACCAACGCTTTCCCACTATCACATTCTTACTTAGCGTTCAGAGACAGCATTGCCTCATCTTATCATGGTGTAGAATTATTGATTGGAGACCTCTTAGATTAATCTAAAAAGACATATGTTTTCGTTGTAATTTTTTTTCTTCATTAACGTGCTAAGTATAGTGATTCCCGTTGCACTCCTACTGGAACTTAAGCACAGGTGGGGCCGGGTCGGATCAGGCAAACTACCGCAAGGTACGAGTGCCTCGTCCCACATAAATGACCAGTCCACCTCCAAATTCTCCCATTTATTGAATCATATCAAGCCCAACCGTGCAGAGTATCCTCTTTTGGCGGGGGACTATTATCAACACCTGTCAGTGTTGTCCCCTACGAACCTCCAGCTCTCCCTGTAGAGTCTGCAGAGCTGAGATTGAATAACACCTTATCAACTTTGAGCTGAGTTATCTCCCCCTCTATCAAAGATACGCTTCCGATAACTCATAAGACCACCAAGACGATGATAATGGTGCTGGGAATGAGGAAAGATAATGCGGTACCAAACGCTACAACGGTAATCAGAGAAGCCGTCGTTATATCACAACATGTGCTACCCACCGGCGGGCGAACAAAAAGCCCACGAAAGCAAAGTAAAAGACCCTTCCGCCCTCCAGAAAAGCAGATTTCGACTCGTCAATAGTCTCGTCCCTACTAATCTTAACTTCTGAATCTGCTAGCCAGGAGGGCATCTGAAATACATGAGTTACCCGACGACCCCGCGCCCACAACGACTTTTGGATACAAGGCTAGGCTCCTTCACGACAATCACTCTCGACCAAGACTTTTCTGACATCTTTTCACGACCTTCGGTTTTCCTGCGGCATGAATCAAGGGAGGATAAAAGAGGAGGCTAGGAAGGTTGAGAGAAGCTCTTAGGTATACACAGGTCTGCTGCGCCCGGCTGGCCGGCCTCTTCGTCATAGGAGAGCCCTGCACCGAGTGGTTTTTGAAGCATTTCCCAGCAGCTACACACCCGCCAATGGCCATCGTTTCGTTGGTTGGAGAGAGGAGATAATGACGGGATAACGGCTCCTCTTAGTGTGCACTAGAATGAAGATCTGTGGGGGTATTACTGCTGGAAAGAAGTCGTGAAGGAGGCAAAGGAGGGAGTACACTACCCGAGGCAAAGATACTCCCGGCCTGTAGGCAGAAAGGACCTACATGTCCTCACATAGTTATAGACTTTTTAGGACAATAAACAACCACTCACTCGTCCGTACATTCTGTTTTGCATTGAACCAACCTTACGGATACGTAAAATAAGGCCAATCGACGTACAGAGTATATTTTCCAACATAGGACCTTAACAAAACAACATTGACCATGGTGAGTGAGAGGTTAGATAAACATCCCAGACGTGTAGCTAACACCTTATGCGTTTAAAATTGGCACCGCACAAACGTAAGAGGGTTTAACTTTATCGGCCTTCCCGCCACTAATAAATATCGACTAGAAAATCCGTAATACTAAGCTCCATATTGAATATAATAATTTGCAAGGATGAATGTTTACCATTTCTAACCATCATTATCACTACAGGCTAGCGCTTCCAGGTAATGGACCAAATGAAAAGTAACATTTTGATCTCCAGCAACGTCGATATAAAATATTAGAGTATGATGAAACGATGAAACGATGAATCATCGAAATCACTCGTCTAACTTATTACTTAAGCATTAATATTATTTATATGACACGCATCAAGTGTTTGCTACTCAAAAATCAAAAATATCATAAACTATCACAAGGCCACCTTTAATCCCATATTCCTGAAAACAGCAATAGCAAAACTACAAAACTCCAAAACTCCAAAATCCAAGAACTACCATTCTAGTTTGGCTTAAATCTGCCGCAAGTTAGTTCTCCATACGATGACTACACCTACATCTCAACTTACATATCATGCCAAGTAGATGGCCACTTCTGATAGTGACAAAGCTGGAAAACTCCATCCTTCTTCTTGTCCTTTTGCCGAACAAGACCCCGAAGCTTACAAGTTGACGGTTCAAATACGACATAATGAAATTTCAAAGAGTCTATACAAATAGTTAGTACTGGTAACTAAAAACGATGATCCTAAAAGTCAAAATGACTTCAACGGTGTCTAGCGTCTTCAAATTCGATCACTAAATGTCCAAATAACATGAACGTCATATGAAGGATTTTATGGGAGAGCAAGAGTAAATCTTACCGAAAAATGACCCTCGTATTGGAGCCATCAGGGTGTTCCTGGGAAAACCAAGCTTCAGCGCTTCAGGAAACGTCTTCGGAAAGCTACAGTCAAGATATGAATACCAAAAGTTGTTATTTGCCTTTGGATTTGGACAAGCAATTCCTATGGCGTCCAAGATCTCATACATCTCGTACTTCGTTGATGCACATTGATAACCAGTGTGCTCTGGTATCATGCCTCTTCTACCAATAACGGATAGACCGGAATGGTGGACTGATAGGGCATCAGCGGTTGCAGCAAATATCAATGCTATGATCATTGTAAGATTAAGGTTGAATCTGAAGGACTTCATCTTGAATACTGCGGCGGTATTACTAGAAATTGGTATGGATATTTGTGAGATAAAAAAGGCGGAGTTGCTGGAATAATGATGATGATATTGATTTTGGTTATGCCGGTGGTGTTAATGATGATGATGATGATGATGTGGATGATGATAAACAGCCAACGTAGGGAACAAACGTCTATTATATAGCGGTTAAAGACGCTACTAAACAAGCTGAGGCAAGTCAATTCCACCATCATCGTACTTTCCTCGAATTAAATGCCGGTGGTGAATCACAGAGTATAAATTTTTATCAATATTGTTATAAAGTGGATATTTGGTGCAAACTGTTGAAAATTTACTCTTCGCTCTATTGGCCATTTCCTCTTTAGGTGGAAGCAAAAACTTCACTTCTTTACCTCAATATATCTGACCAAGTTGTGTAATTTGAAGGTCAGCAACAAGCCATCTGTGAGATCAGAATAGGGCGAAAATGGGGCTTCAATAATCCTATCGACTAGACCCAAGAATGCCACTTTTCGCCGGCTAATGCACAATAAGATCAAATTTAAGTTGATTCATTCAAACTAACTGGATTTGGCTCGTTCAATAAGTCATAAAAGCGAGGTCCAATTTTCGCCTAATCTAGTAAAGAGAATTTAGTCGGGTCCAAGGGGCGAATACCTTTGAGCTTACTGTGGTTAGTTTGATATCTATATTTCAAGTCGCTTTTTTAGTTCGAAGCCCCGTTCTAGGGTGGCAAAAAAGTCCGCAAATAATGAGCCGGACTAAGGATATTATAGTAACCATCAATTTGATTCATTCAGTCATCAAAATGAAACTCGGTATTACAAAAGTGAAGCGTATGATAGAAAATATCATTGATAGATCGAGTGATGATGGTATATCTACTCATAAGGCGAATAATAAATTGATATTTCCACGGAACTTTATCTCATCTACTTTTACCATTTTTGGTTGTAATAGCTTATCACGTGTTGTAGGGTCAAATCGATGTGGACGTTAGTTGAATGGGATTATTCCTAGGATGAGGAAGTTTAGAGGCACCACATCTTGTCTAGTCCTGGAAGTAGAGTCTGGATAGCTAAGTAACTCATGTCACTTGAAATAGGAGATAGTTTGCCTAATCCCAGA